AGTTTTCAATGTGAGGTCATTTGGTTATCAACTTGAGTCTTCACGTGTGAGAAGGCAAGACTAAAAGACGTTATGGATTTTACAACACTTGTTACTCTATAGTCATCAGTCCTGAGATGGGCAACTGGCAGCCCGCTTACCTTTTTCATCTGGGCCGCCTTACATTTTCAAATTACTTCATATAATTTTAGCGCTTATCTGCATTTTATTTTATTACATTTTTCGATAAAATGTGGATATAAATTCTTATCCAGTTTTAGACTGAAACTAAATTATTAAATGTCTAAATATATATTTATAATGGCGTAGCTAACATACTATTTATATAATTGTATCGGTTTAATCATATCCTTATTCGGCAGTGTCACACCACTGCGCCGTTAGTACTATTATTTTCGTGTTTTGTAGTAATTATTTTAAAAATGTCCGCTAAAAAGCGTAAAATCGAAGACGAAAATAGAATTTTTAACAGATTATGGGAGAATGAATAATTATTTATTTTTAACAAACAAAAAAACCTCAATGTTTAGTTTGTTTAAATATTATTGCAGTACTAAAAGAATATAATTTGAAAAGACATTACATGACAAATCATTCGAAATATAAGTGGATTTTACTAAATTGTCTATTGAAAAACCACATCCTCAAGTATCACATTAAATAATAATTGTAAATATAAATAAATAAAAATAAAAAATTAATGTTAGTAAATTTGAAGGACCTTTTTTTTTTGCTTTCTCCTATGCACTGCGGCCCGCTAGATTTTAAAGTACTTAAAAGTGGCGACCTAGTAACTTTGAGTTGCCCATTCCTGCTATAGTCCACACCAGGCACCGCCAACCCTCGGCCCACGGAATTTTTGTCTACAGCCTTCCAAATATTCACCATAGTATTTAAAATGTTAGTTTTGTATCTTAAATCGAAATAAATAAAATTGAACCGTGTCTATTATAGGTTAACGAATATAAGGTATAATATTATCTCAAATATTATGCTATATATAGTAGGAACATTTAAAAGAAATTAAAAGCTTTGCTAAAAAAAAGTGATTACTAATTTTGGGAGCACTTATCTATGTGAGCAGACATTTTCAATAGTTAAATATCGAAAAAATAAATACTGTTCACGATTAAGCGACGAACACTTAAACGCGGTTTTAAGAATAACAACATCCAATTCTAAAGCAGATACAAACGAGTTAGAGGGAAACATCCAACATCAAGAATCACATTAGAATCTAGAAACTATTAATTTAAAAATATTTATATCCTTTTGCACTCAAGAAATAATTAATATACATTTTTTTTAATTTCTCAATTTTCTCTACTTGTAATTTGACACTCATAATATGAATGTAGCTATCCATAAAATATATATGTTAAAATTGTATTTTTAATAACGTTTATTTTAATTTTATTGCAGCCCTCAATGAAAATCTGATAAAAAATATGGCCCCACGTAAGTAAAAAGGTTGTCGACCCCGGGTCTATACTAATGATTCAAAGACTGATCCAAGATGATGATTTTATTAACTTTGCAACGTAATTATTATTCTTTTTTGTAATAGAATTAATTCTTTTGACCGTTGCATTTTAAGACTTGAGATTTTAATATAAGGTCATACACATACCAATACATTATACAATTTTAGTTGCTTAGTAAGTAGTAAATAGTAAGTAGTATTATGAACACAATCAACCATTTGTGTTTAAATGTTAAAAGTTATAACACACGTACTCAGACACCCAGTTCATATATATTTTATTTTCTTATATAGTAAAATTCGTAACTTCATAATAACCGACTTATGTGCATGTTCTCAAAAAAACTTTTTTTTATTTCCAGAATAAGCAGCAAAGCATCATCTAGTATTGTTCACTGGTAACTCAGTTATAATTTTTATTTTAACTAATTCTAATAATAAAATTAAGACCACACGGCGTTTTAGATAGGCTATTTAGCTACACCACTGTCATTGATTCATTTTACTGAAGTAGGTAATTTGTTCAAGGGCCCATACCCAATAAAAATATGTTTTCGGCTATATCATATGCATCTTTATATACACACATATATAAACGGCTATATACAGTGGTGTAACTGGAGAAAAATCTAGAGGGAGGGGTTGGGAATAATGTATACACCAGAATAGGAACCCTGACCCCCCAGGTTTATTCTTACAACTAATTTTATGGTTTAAGTACCAATTGTAGGTAATAGTTATAAAATTACTTAATAGTATTATGAACCTATCAAAGAGTTCATTAATAAAAAGATGCTATAAAAAGTTTAAAAAAGTAACTAGTATAAATATTATTTACATATATTTTATATTTGGTGAATAATAGTTAAGAAAGAACAAATAATTTAATGACTTAATTAAATGTGATTATTGCAATATCATTGACAATATCTCAACATAATATTATCTATACAGCAAGAGAAACCTCAAATAAATTAAAACTTTTATGAAATAATTTGAGGAAAAAATATTTTAACATTATAATATTATGTTAAATATATTGCATTCTTTTTTAACTTTTTTTAACCTAGAAGATTCAAATGTTTGTATTGTTGGATTATCTGTGGAGGGAGCAAAATGATACCTTTGCCCCCCCCCCACCCCCAAAAAAATCATGGCACTGAGTACATAATACTTATATATTGATATTTATAATTTACCATACAAACTTATAACTTATAAGTGTTCTGTACAAATATTTTTTATTTACCTATACCATTAAAATAGAAAGTATTAATATTAATTAAGATTACAAAATTATATTGTTTTACTATCAAAATATATATATTCCAACATCAATTCAATATTTAATAATAAAACAATTCATATAAAAATATAATTAAAATAAATCAGTAGGATGTAGGTAGGGGCATAGGTGACAATTTAACATGAGATTACCTATAATCAAACAGAATAACATTTCAAAATAAATGCATTAACTTCAAATATTATTTTACAATTTATATTAATATGTTAGGCTGACTAGCAATCAGCTGGTTATACGGATTTTTAGGCTGTTTTTTCTGTCTGATGGTGCTTAGTATTTTTTTCATTAAAGTCGACTCAGCAAACGCCTTGAAAAAATAGAACAAATTAAAGAATACAATTAAAACAACTGTATAACTATATTTTTATAATAGACTTAAAGAAATGTTATGCAATAAATATTTACCTCGATATTGATAGCCAGGTAAAGATTTAAAACAGGAAAAGCAAGTAGAGTAATAAGAAAAATCCGCTGTTCTTTTTCATAGGGTGAATTTTTCAGATTGACCATGTCGAATATGTCTGTAAACGTAGAGTATCTAGTTGTTTGTAACATCAGCGTAAATAAAGTCAATATTACAATGACAATTGTGAATGACACTATAAAAATGTATTAAACAATTTAATATATGGAATAAAAAAATAAAATGTGAGTTGTTCTAAGCATGTTTAATTAAATTATGCTTACGATTTTTGTAAAATGGTTTTCGATGAGGATATCCCTTGTTTAATACAAATGCTAAAATAATGTATTGATATGAACTGGTTAAAAACAATGTAGTATTTTCCCAACATGAAATTACATCATTGTCAGACCATGCAGGCCTTGTAGGAATAAACCTATAAAAAATAAATAAAAATAAAAAATAAAAATGGCACAGTTATCAAGAAAATTAGATTGTTTTATAAAGTAATATAGGCAGTATAGCAAATACATTATACATATCACTATAATAGTGATATTAAATGAATAATTCATTACACATCTATATTAATAATTTTACACCCCCTCCCACCCCTTAAGAAGATCCTGAATTTCGCCACTGCACTAATTAATAATTTAAGTACCTATGTATGAGTATATAGGTATTACATTATTCAATTGAGAATAACAATTATTATGGATAATGTACTTCAATGTTATAAAATATTGTAATGTAGTTCTAAATTGTAAACAGAATATTCATTTTTATCAACTACGTGTACATTATAATATATTTTCAAAGAAATAAACGCTCTTAACTTTTCTAGTTAAACTTAAGTTCCAATAGAAGATTCTATCAATTACCAACCACAAATATTTAACACTAAGAATAATAAATTTTTATTTAATTTAGACTAAAATAGTTTTGAAAGTCAATTATGATTATATCGATAACAGGAAATGATTAAAAATTAAACAATAGTCAATAATATGATTTTTAAAAACTAGTACATGACCGTGTGTTAAATTATTAAAACAAAAACAAATTAATTATAATTTCAATGATCAAAAATCGAATCATAATTGGAATATAATAAATTATAATAAGTTATCATAAATATTTTTTTTACAAATTTGTTTGTTTCATATTACTAAGCTAGATATAATAAGTTATCAACTTAATTGTGAAAATCAAAAAATGTAAGCACTTTTAAAAAAATACTTTTTTATGAAAATATGCATTGTTAAATATTATTTATTTATTTACAAGGAGATCCAATTATGGTACTTCCCCAGATGAAGTGGATCATATTGACAATATGTTTGGTAGAGGACATTTACACCTTTCAGTAGTTCATTTTTTAAACCATCAGACTTGAGACACCCTTGACCACCAAACAATGAAAGTTGCACTACATAGACAAACACAATTGCAAAACAACTACTGTACAAGTGTTTTACACATTATTAGAGTATGAGGACTTTTACCAATTTTCTGTGATCATCATATTTTATGAAACATTTATACAAATTTTTAAAAATGTATTCTTTTTCAATTAAATGTAATAAGTAATTCATAAGCATAATACATTTTTTAAGCAAACGGGTATTGACAGTGAACATTTTGTTATATTTAAGTTTTCAATAAACATTTATTAACCTGAATCAGTTTAAGTAGGTAATCAAATGATTTTTTTAATTAAAATACAATATAAAAATACTTGCCAATCTTGTAGTTCTAGGTAATAAAGTGACCCTATTTGTATCAAAGCACAAACCAACAATTGCAAAAATAGTGGTATTAAGTTTTTGGCAGTCAAAATTTTAGACAAAGGACGGTGAGGATGAACTTTGTCAGTAGGTTCGATATCACCCATTACAATAGCTAATGATGTAGTGAGAATAAAATCAAAGTATAAGAATTGGAAATTTCCCAACATTATACCTTTCTGAAAATACAAAAAAAAATTATGTTATTATATATAGGAAAATATCAACTCAATATTTTGTAAACAATAATGATTTTTGTACCTACACTATAAAGTAAAACTAATGTAATAAACTGTATTAAACTGTAGCATGTCATATATTTAAATATTCCAAAACTGGTAACCAGAGCACATCGTCCTTCTCGTATTATTTTAGTTACGCATGATACGTTTGTTATTTGAGAAGTAAATGGGGCTGCTATGGACGCTTCAGCTTGTGAAAGTGATATGCCAACATGAGCCACTTTTAATGCCTATAAAGTATAAACAATGATTGATATTAATATTTTTCATATATTCATTTGATAAAACGTTAAACCATACCCCAGCATCGTTTGCTCCATCTCCACACATCGCTGTCACATAGCCCATACTTTGAAAATACTCCACAAGTTTCACTTTTTGCTCTGGTAACATCCGTCCAAATACAAGACCTTTAGAGACAACATAAGGTAACCAACTCGGATAATCTGACTCCAAAACAGACCACGACCTTCCGTCGATTGCATAACATAACTTTTCATCTTGTATCTATTAATAAACACATCACAATTTTTTAAAGAAAAATCAATAAAAATAATTAAAGTTTTCACTATTTTGAGTAATTACATCTAAGGTATGCCCTAAAGTAGGCTCAAGTTTGATTTCTGCTTTAGTTAGTTCGGTGCTAGGTGTTGCTGTTAGTACTGCAATATTTATATTAGATGGAATCATAGAACACTCTCTTGCTACACTTAATCCAGTGTATAAATTATCACCTGGAAAAAAAATATAAATTTATACAACATTATAATATTCTTTTAGAAAATTAATAAATGTAATTTAAAAAAGTTCAAAGTAAACTAATTTACATATTTAATTGAATATTATATGAATTAATAAATAAAACAAAATTAGAAGTGGGTACATAGTAAAAATGATAAGTAATTATAATTTTAAGCAGAATCTTAAATGTTTTTGATATTTGATTAGACTAGATTGTAAGTTTTACACAATGCTGTTTATCAAATGCATTAATTTATGAGGATCATTTTTAAATATAAAACTACTGCTCTATGTAAAAATCGGTTTCTTAATTTTGTACAATACTTTTTTTAAAATAAGTTTTATATCTACTCAACTGTATACATATGCTTACCTGTGACCATAACACATTTTATGTTCGCTGTTCTCAATTGTTGAACTATATTAGAAGATTGTGGTTTAAGTTTATTTTGCATAACAAGAAATCCAAGAAAAATTAAATCACATTGAACCTTTAAAAATATATTTGTAGTTATAAACATTATCTAAATTTTATATCAAATAAATAGCAGAAATATTCAATGATTTACATTTTCTAATTTAAGGTGGTATAACGATTTCCAGTTCACTTTTTTTGGTAAATCTTTGTATGCCAATGCTAATACTCGATATCCAGATGAACCAAATTCTTCCAAAACAGAAAAAATATTTGTGGGAACTAAAAGAAGAAAAGAAACACATTATAAATTATAATGAAATTAAAAATTAATTCTTTTTAAATTACTTGTTTCTTTCAAACAGTTTTGGATAATCTTTTCTGGAGCACCTTTACAGTATGCTGTGTAACGCCGAGTACCAAATACTTGACCAATTACACACATACTTTGCGTTTTCGAATTAAAAGGAAATTGATGTACGATACCGATTTCAATTGGTGACTATTGAATTAAAATATTTATTTAATAGTTTAAAAAAATTATAAAAAAATCAATACTTTGACATTTTCTTACTTCACCCGTGTATATTTTTTTAGATGGTCTTACTATTGAAGGTAATAAACTATCAAATCTTGAGCTATCTGCACCAGGCTCTTCCAATTCCTAAAATATAATAAATATTAAAATTATAAATATATAATAACTAATATTATTAAACTATACAAGAGTTAATTGTAAAGTATGTTTTACCCAATCAGTTGAATTAAACATGCTCAAATCTAATGGATCTCCTGCTAGTGACCCATTGATGTGAGTTAATGAGTGACAAGATGCCATTGTAGCTATTATTGGTGATCTGACATCTATTTGTGATAAGTCTTTAACTAAATTATTATAAATATTTGTAGTCGATTGCAAGCCATCATAAGGCAATAGGCCAAAAAAGTGCAATCCGTCTTCGGTCAGTGTACCAGTCTAAAATACATTGGTTGTCTAGGTAATCATTATATTTATATAACACAAAAATATTAAATAATCTAAAACAATTCTATTAAAATAAAACAGGTTACAATGTCAATAACAATTATTGTACTAAAAAAAATAAAAAATTATGAACTTAACACTTTGGTTTATCCAAAAATTATCAAGAATAATTGCATTTTTACTTTCATCTAAAATAATTTATGAATACAGCCTAGACGTGTAAAGTTATGCTGCAGCCTACATTTACTATTTTTATCCAAAATGTAACATATTCAATTTTATAAAATGTATTGTATTTTATTCAATTGATTAAATATTTACTTTTAATTAGATATTTGTTAAGCCAATTATTTATTCTTTTATTTAATAATAAAGGATTACTCGTAACTTCCAAGGATGTGAAATAACTTTATAAAAAAAATTGTGTAAACAATAAAATATTTTAATTTTTTTGTTTTTTTAAAAAAAAATAGTGATTTGAGCTCTACTCAATTTTTTTTCACTTTGAATTTCATATTAATAACATAAATATGATAAGCTTATAAACTTGTTTTACTTTTTTTAACAACAAAGCAAATTTATAGCTATGAGTCTATGACTTATATAATCAAACCACATTCGAATAAATTGTAATTGTTTATTTAAAAAGCTTACCTTATCAAAACAAACAAGTTTTATTTTACCAGCAACATTAATACGGGTCTGACATGTGCAGTATATTTTAAGGCGTTTTAGTCGTTTCATAGAATGCACAATACCAATTGTCATTGCAGCTGGCAATGCAGGGGGGACAACCACAGTGTAAATGTCCAGACTTCTTATGATTATGTACTCTGTAGAAGCCTATGACAAAAAAAAAAATGATAGGTACTTTAATATTACATTTATTTAACTATTAACACTGTACTTATATATTTTGAAGAATAACACAAATGTATATTGCATGTGAATATAATAAAATAAAACAAAAACTAGTGTCATCACTACTCTAATATTAAGAGTGTACTAATTTAGTGATTTATTCAATTAAAATTCTGAGAAACATCAATAAATACATACTTCTCTTATAACATACAAGTAGGCACAGTAAAGCATTCCAATGGTAGCAACGACAAACATGATTATAACAAATTTTATGGAATCCAAATAAAACTCGAAATCCATATCTTTTGGAAACATAATTGACCGTATCAAATTCCCTTTAGCCGTAGAACTTCCAGTCCTAACCACCAGAGCCAACACCTATAAATTGAATTAGTATTATTATATTTTCATTATGTACAAGGCAAGTGAACAAATGGTCAATAATCTTTCAAAAATAATTTGTGTCATTTCCCATACTTGAGCCCCAGCGTAAAATCTTGATTGTAAAATCCTGGTACCGCAGTACAATGTGTGATGTTTATGCGAAGAACTGCTGTAGCAAAATTCTTCAATTGACGAAGGAGGGCTTTTCGTTATTGGCTCACTTTCTCCTAAAACACAATATTCTCAGTATAAGTGTTACAACCTTTAGAGTATATATTTCGATAAAATCCATAAAAGTTTAAAGTATTAAGTAACACTCATCCCATTCAATATCTATGGCAAATAAGTAATATTATTAATATATTATATGATCAAATAAAAACAATATGTTTGACAATATGTCTAACATAATATGTTTTTTTATGCTTATAAGTTATAACATTTTATTTTAGAAACTTATGGTAATGTACTAGAAACTGTTAAGCTTGCCAAAAAACTTTTATAGTGCTTATAACATTATTTTAATGCAAATACAAACCTGTTAAAAGACTTTCATCCACAATACAATTACCAGATAATAATAAAGCATCACAAGCTATATTGCAACCTCCTGGTGGTATTATAATTACATCTCCAGGTACTAAATATTGAGCTTTTACTTTTACATTTTCTATACACAAAAGAAAAATAACATTTAAATGTATAAATCAAATAATTTATAAAGTATACACAAAAAATATTTTATAGTAATTATTATTCATTAGTGAATAAATTGATAAATGAATAATTCAAAGTTAAGTGATTATAGGTGACTAACAATAGTTATTGATATTTATAACTGTTTATTATAATTGTGGTAAATGTATTTGCACTTTTAAAAGTAGTAACAATTTACCTTGATGAACTACAAGATATACAAATTACCTTGGTCAAACTCTGATTATAATAAATACATTATTTATTTTAGTTCAGGCTGTTATGAACAAGAAATGGTAAATCTTAGGAGAAACAATCTGATATGGTAAACAACTTAGTAAAAAAAGAATCGAAATACGATGAAATTTAAATTTTAAACACTACCTAGGTATCATATTTAAACTTACTTATTTTATTAATAAATATGAAATAATATTGATGCAATACAAATTATAAACCTATGTTGCGTTATTGTAGTACCTATAACAAACATAAAACTACTAACGATTTTTAATTATGTAGATAGGTATTTTTTTTTTTTTGATTTGGTCTTAGCAATTTTCGATGCCATGGCAGTCAATCCCCTCGAGTATGTAATGATAAATAATATTACATATTGTACCTAATAGTTTTCTATTTTTCTATTTAATTTGTTCAGATTTTGTTTATAATATTTTTAGATTCTGAGTAGAGTGATGAATGTATGGATTTTACAATTTTGTATGAATTTTATTTGTCTATGAAAATATGATTTATTGTGGAAAAATGCTTCGATTTTCAACTTTGAGGGTGGTTTCTTGGTATTTTAGGTCAAAATTGAAAATTACTAGTATTTTTCATTTTTTTTTTCCAATATTTATTGAATCTTGATAAAAATTGTTGATTAGGTAATCAAAAGTATGAAAAATGTTTAAAGTTTCCCCATACGTTGTTCATATATGCCAAACAAAAATGTATAGTCACATCATTATTTTATATGCGTTTAAAGTTGGAATTTTGACACAATTCAACAAAATCAAGAAAATTTGAAAAATTATGATGAGTTAGAAATGTATACAAATTTTTAATTTTATGGCTGAAGATTTGCAAATATAATACAAGATTTCTCATAGATTTCTTCATTTAACAAAATAAAAGTTTAGGGGAGTTATATTCAGTTTTTATGAGAGTTTTAAGTTCAAATATTTCCGACATTGGATATACCTGACGATATTCTTATTTTGTTGTAATTTAAAAACGAAAAACTGCTATTGAAGAAACATGAAATATTCACAACATTTTAATTTTATCGTTTTCTAAACATGGTATAATTCAACAATAGTGTTATTCTCTTCGAGCTAATTATAGACATTTTCGAAATACTAATTTTACTTTGACAAATTTGATTTGGACAATTAATCTTTTGTAAATTTTTTTTTATTTTGGACTCGTGCCATTATAGATTTTTTACTCTAAGATTTACCACTTTTCGTTTGTAAAAGCCCAAACTACAATATCGGGCATGACCGTTATCGACCAAAAACATACCTTCCTTTTTCGACTAAATTTAAAAAAGGTTGATTCCTTTTTCAACCAAAACAAAAAGTTTAATAATAGTTAATACTTTATACTTTATGTCTGTACTCTGTATGTTATACTTAGCAACTTAGGTATAGAAAACCACTTAAAATATAAGTTCTAAACATATGTAAAATATATAAATAAATAATAATAATTATAATAATTATAATAATATAGAATTGTTGTTAATGTTTATTAAATATAATATTAATGTGTTTAATATATAAACAAATAAAATGATTAAAAGTATAAGTTGTATATTTGGTACATAATACATATACCTATAAATAGTAGTTGCCATCACAGTCCAACTCTGCGACCGATCGGTTTTAATAATAATTTTTGATATGTATGACGTAAAGTATAAATCAAATTTTTGTGCTGGCCGAAAAACAAAAGAATATGATTTCGGTCGAAAAGTGAATCGGAAGAAAAAGGAAGGGTACGTTTTTCTTTGAAAACGGCCTAGCCAAAATGATCATGCAATTTGTATCTTTTAATTCAGTTATAATGAAATCTACTTTAAAATTATGTACCTAATCACAAAAATATTATACCCTTTAAATTATGTAGAATTGTTGGGTTGAAAATTAAATTTAAAAAAATTATGAGTAGTTTTTTGTGAAAAAGTACACTGACAATACAGTACTATGCATAGCAATAGTTGTTGACAAAATTCCAACTGTAGAATTACAATTTTTACAAACACTCTATACTTAATTATTGAATAAACTTACCCTCGTCTCTTCTTAGGACAGTGTAAATGTCATTATTATAAGTATCTACAGTTTCTTTAAGTGATCGACTTTGCTGAAATATATTCATTCGATATTTAGAATCAAATATTAATTTTAATTTATCATTGAAAAATTGTGGAACCCAAACTATAAACAGATATATTGGACATATTTATCACTCAAAGCACCTCATTATTCTGGGTAAATTATTAAAGATAGGTAGAGGTTAAAGTAATAGACTATATAACGTTTATATGTAATCAATTTAAAATTGAAAGCAAAATTAATAAACAAAAATCGAAGTTGGAGAAATTATATTTCAAATATAATAAGTGAATATCAAATAAATCATAATACATTATTACCTATACAAAAAGATCATATTTTGTAGTATAATTTAGTACGAATTTGTGTCTTAGTTATAGAAGTCTTATTTGTCAACAATATTAAACCAGGTTATAAACATTAAACTCTTGTTTATAATGGTTATAATCGTAATGACAATAACAATGTACTAATATTTAATATTATGGTCGTATAATATTTAAAGGTTTGGCAGGAGTTGTACACATTACAGAAATACAGGAGAATATAATTGTAATTAGTGGTGAGCCAGGTGGGTTTGAAAGGGTTTCAGCCCTCCCCGAAATGTCGGGAAAATTTTTAAATGCTTTCAGTGTCTTGTGAATGAATAAAGTGAGACGTTATCATGTATTAAAATTGTAAATTTTAAAGAAAGTATTGCTGTAAAAGTAAAAAAGTGTTATACCCACATAGCATATAAAACTTGCGAGGGATCCTAAATTAAGCGTTCGCTATGCAATAAATTATCACCTCCTTGGAGGGGGGCAAAACAAAATCATGACTACGCCACTGATGTATATTATGTACATAATAGGTACTTAGGTGGGTATGAAAAAATTGTAAGACATCCTGTATGAATGCAGTATAATCGAATTTATATATGTACATATGTACATGCGTGGTATCTTGGTAAAAAAATGGGAGATTGTAAATTCCACCTGGAAAAATAAATATTTTTAAACTAAGCTTTCCGTGACGGTAAGACGCGACCGTACTGTTCGCGACGCGAAATGTTATGCAGTATTTGGAAGTTCAAAATTTTCGAACACGGAACAATCGTATCAGACGACAATCGCCAATCATGACATATTATCTTATCAGTTATCACCTTTCACTACAATATTGTGGACCTAATAATTGGAAATATCGGATAGAAAAAGAGTTTCGTTAAGAATTATGAGGTGTTTGTTTTGAGTACACTACGTCCTTGAGTCTAAAGCAAAAACATTTTTCGGGCGGAATGTACCTACAAAAACCATCCCCCCTCAAAAAAAAAAAAAAAAATAGATGTATAAAAAAATCAATTCATATAATAATTATTTAATTGTATAGTAACTAGTAAGTACTAAGTTATATATGAATTGTATATTTTAAAGTAAATGTTAAAGGGGGGAAAATAGTAGCTACAATATATCATATAAAAATACAGTAATTATAATATAGGTACCCAAAGCATAAGACCGTATTCCGATGTTATGCATTATGATTGACAAACAATTGTGTCCTTAAAACAAAAACGTCCTTATGATATATTCGAGTATAGTTAATCATTATTATGTTATAGTTTGAGTTGCACAAAATTCAACAATAGACTACAAGGGAATACAAAATATCCAAACCTCTTTCAGTTGATATAATGAAGTGCCAATAGAAAAAGCTGAACTGACCAATACACATAAACCATAATATTCATAGTCATCAAAAAACCATAGGCATATACTAAATATTTGGAACACGTAAAATGGATTCAGCACTTCAGCAAAAAACAATTTCCAGTAAGAATATACTTCTACGATCACTTCATTCTTGCCAAAAAGTTCTAATCTAAATACAAATTGAATTTTTTTAAATGTGTTTATAGGTACTTACTTTAAAACAGTTACAAAAAAACATAAAATAATTATCATGCGTATTGTAATGTCAAAATTATGAATTATATACCCAAATAAAACGTATTATAATAGTTATTAGTTTTTATTTTTTTTATAAAAATATGAAAATAATTTATTTAAAAATAAAGATAACACAACAAATTGATTAACTTAGTAAAATTGAAGGTTATAAAAAAATGTTTAAATGGTTTGGGAATCACTTGTAAGTGATTTTTAATTCTTGCATTCCCTTACTCCATATTAGAACGTATGACGTGTATACAATGTACTACCACGGTTAATATTAGTAATTTGGTTAAAGTCGATATCCAATTGTAGTTATCCAATTTTCGATATCACCCTTAGGCCTTAATAGCTGAAGTACCTACAAAATATTTGGTATTTTAATGCCTGTTATAAGATTATAATATAAGCATTTATTTGGCCTCCGTCGAAGTTTATAAATTATCGTAGATATAGGTACTGAATGTTCTTACACTATAGTATGATATTATACTTAAATAATAACGAACAGTAAATTGTTTTTTATGAATGCAAATGTTATTTAATGTTATTTAATGTTATTTAATTGATGACAATTATTTTGACGTTGCCACATTGGTGATGTGCAAAATTAGTATTGTTAACACCAACAAATGTGAACAATTAATACGTTTTTCAAAAGTTACACTCAGATTTCCAGAAATAAATACAGATATTATAATAGGATACGATTATTTATTTTATGGAAATATTAAAGTCTCGATAGAATGTAACATGTAAACATACACATACATATTACGTGTTCCGTGAATGATTAATTACACGATGAATGATAATTCACAGGATTTTAAAATTTAAATTATGTTTTTTTACATGAAATTTAGTTAGATGTGGGCGTGTAATCGTGACTGATTAATATTGTGGGTACCTATATTTATCTATAGTGCATATATGTTCATAAAAAAAATTAATTACATATTTACATGTTATAACTTCGAATTACAATTCTGAGCTTGGTAAAAAAATTGTCTGAGCTCAATTGTTTATACACTTGATAAATAATAAAAGGGGGTGGGTAATAATAGTTAGGTGTTATACATACTGGTTTGTATATTCATCAGTAGTGAGACCGTGACACTTTTCTAACAAATTTGATAGTGTAGTTGTTCCATTATCAAGACCTTGTAGAAATTTGAATACATTTTCATTCTCATCCCATATATATTTTAGTAATTGATGTTTAAAATATCTTACGGTTTTCCTTTCTCCGTTTGAGTCTTTTATTATTGAAGTGTGTACATCGTACATGGCATCGCTGTTATTCGCGTCCTTTAAATAATAAATACGTATCAACAATAATAATAAAATGATATTGAAGCAAAGAGCCTATTCAATTTTATGATAAATATAATTTGGAAATTGATTACATTTAAATAGGTAGTAATAATATTTTGAGAAAAATCACTGTTTCACTGTGAAATGGATTCTGCGGTACATATAATATAAAATCTGAAATCATTATATATTAGAAAGCTATATTTACTTATTCTAATGCAATTATTTTAACTTAGAATAGGTACTCATTGTTTTGTATGGCCATAATTCGATTATTAATAAACATTTCTAAATTATGCACATAATACAATTTACTTAATAATCGAATCCCTTTCAATTTGTTTAAAAATTAAAAACATAATATAACCATATAAGTAGACAGCATGAATGTTTAAAAAATAATGACTTATTGAATATTATATTACGCCCAGAGTAGGTACATACTATACATTAGGTAGGTACTATGTACAGGTTTTCTAAAAGAACACGTCTCTCTCATGGCATCCATTAAACTCGGTGAGAAGACTCAAGTAGCTCATTTAGACATTCCACGGGTGTCTTTAAAGAAACCCCGACAAGTGGGCAAAAGGAATAAAAAGGGCGATGGTCGGTGGAGGAAAACCGGATATTATACTAACCGACCGGTTATTCATTGAAGAATAAAATAATCATTATATAATAATGTGTAAACAACAGATTTAACTACAGTTATTTTTTCCCCCAAAGCTACATAGCTGAATTTCTAATAGTTTCTAAATACAAAATATGCATATTCAGTAGGTAAAATATTAATTCCCATGTCGTTTGCTACGATGATCAACCACCTATTTAATTATGAATTCGATATACCTATAAGGCTATACATGTTACAGCACTGCAGCAAGCTTACATGAAATGGGTATTAATGAATGAGCATTAATTTTTATGATATGTATTGGAATGAAATTATTTAAAATGTAACCGGCTTATTAAATCATGAAACAATTCAATAGTGACAAAAGTATTATTGAGATACTTTTACTCAAATATTTACACCACAGCACTAGGCTGCAAGGAATTAAAATACACAAGTAGTAATAGTATTTGGTTACCTAAGGCCTTAAGTGTATTATAATAGTATTTTAAATCAGTTGGATTTTGAACTTATTTTAAAATAGTGTTCGGTTTAGTTTAAATAGTGTATATTTTTTTTATAAGAACGCCAAGTGACCAAAAATATCTACGAAACAGTTATGGCTTATCCTTATATACATCATTTTAATTAGGTACCCAATATAATTAGTTATTAATAATTACATATATATGAAGTGATGTAGACAATTAGACATTAGTATAACATGTACAGATTATGTATTATTTATTTGCAGTTAGCCCTGCAGATAAAAAATGTAAAATAATGGTCAAATCAGATTAAAATGCAGTCTTCAATTTAATTTTTAGAAACATGGATGGGTTTTAGATTTATACGTCCCTATTACTCAATTATGTAAAAAATAAAAATGTAAAATAAAATATAAATAGGTACTCGTCGAATGTCATTCCACACAAGATAGAGGTCACTAATGTAATATCATAGTTTTACTTACTATGAAACTTAATATTTTTAAAAACACTGATCATAATATTATACTGATATGCCAGAAGAAATTTTAAGCGGGAGCCAAGAAGAGAACTAAAGACAAATTTTCAGCAATGTCAAGATCTTACATTTAAATTGTAAATTTGTTCTTGCTCTTCGACTACGATAAAACTCATTAAAAATGTTCTTTTCAAAATATTAAAACATCTAGATAAGACTTTCGACCTACAGAGATAACCTACGATGTCAAAAATGTACACATAGAAAAATATCATAACTGTAAGGCCAATTAATTAATTCCCTTAAAATCTAAAAGTACATACATACAATTCAATCAGAACTATCACGTATATATGTATATATTACCAATAAAGACTATTTTTTCAATCAAGTTAATGACGTAATTATACTGATCAGTGTCCATACTTTAATACGGTTCTACTAATTCATTAAATGAAACATGTTGGTATGCTAATAATATAATTAATATTTACATATTAATAATCGTTTAAATGATAAAATAACAAGATTTTAGAGTTTTAATATGCTAATTTTGATATGTGAAAATAATCTCCTATAATTTCTAGCAAATTATTATTTTTATATTTTAAAATAGTTTCAACTGAACAACAGTCTGATTATAAAAAAAATTTATTAAACTCTATTTTCAACTATAAAATGTATATTTATCAGTAAAAAATGTCACAACATGTTATGCATAAAAAAGAATAATAATTAAGACTTGGAAAAACTATAATTATAATACGTAAATATTATTTAATGTTATAATTAAGAGTTCTAAAGTTTGCAATTGAAGTTGCACCCCTATATACCTAAGTATAAATAACAAATTTGGTTTTAAATACTTACATTAACGAGAACAACATCGGAAGTTGATAATGGGCTAGGAGTCATAAGCAGATATAATTTTAATTTGATTGACCAATGAATGGCTAAGTATGGCACACCAAGCATGCATATTGCAATTATATTAAATATTATTTTTTTTAATAGGTTATAAGAATATCCACATTTTATGTCAATGTATTCTACATCTAAATTGTTAATGTGATGAGATGGCAAACCATCATCTATTGGTGAATAGTCTCCACGAGAAGAACAGCAACCTAAAATAAATAACAAAACGTAATTATAGTTAATGAAAGATAATATGATTTATGGGTAAATACATAATTATTTTTACTCAGCGCAAACATACTAATTTAATAAACAACAGTAAAAAAATAATGTAAAAAACGTTATAATAACAATTAATAATTTCTTACAAGAAAATAAAAATAAATAATTTATGTAAGATTAGAGTTATATTCGTGAAATATAAAGTGTATAAGACACTAAAGAATAATTTCAATTATTGTGCCTATACATTTTACCACACTCAGTTTCATGCATTATTAAAATAAATTAAATTTGAATAATCTTGTTTTGCCAACAAAAATTGTGCAAAAAAAGATTTATTTTGCATATGTCATTTGTGCCATGTATAATCACTATATTACAAACGTACAATATGGCAAGACACCTAAGTCTATAATAGATAAACTAACTCTAAAATAAAAGCTAACAACACAAAACTTATTTTTGAAATATTTAATAAGTTGTAATAGTGTAACGTTTGTTAGACGGAGACATTACATACCCTACATGTAAGTCCTCGAAGTCCTATAGTAGGTACATATTTTAATGATATACCCATATGGCAGGTACAGTATATTATTATTGTTTTCCTGATTACGAGTCCAAAAAATGGACAGTACATACCCTCGTAAGTACTATCAAAATCAGATATTAACTATTTAAGTATTTATAAAATCATTCTAAGGAATATTTGTGACAACAGTAAACAATAACTAACAATAATGATTAAATATTAATGTAATTAATTATAGGTATAGTTAGGCCCAAGTTTAGATTTTAAAATAAAATTTGACAAATATATAAAAATATATATGTTAATACAACAGACAGTCTGTTACAGACTATTAATAATAGACAGGTACATATGTATTATCTAAATAGAGCCTGTGAAGAGCATTTAAAATCTACTGATACCGAAAGAAGTTGTATGACTACGTTATGCTGTAATTTTTGAAGTTTTTTATTGGATTAGTATTTAGTAGATTTGATTTATTTGAAGTTCAAAAGTGAATGTAATAAATTTAATTCAGATGCTGTACCTCGGCCTTCAGGTATCAATTTTAGAAATAATATAACTTAAATCAAAATATTATGTAATACAGAGTACGTATTAGGTACATATTATGTGAGGGTGTCGGTTCCGGTTTTTTAAATTTTCGGCAATTCTATAAAATTTACAAATTGTATTTTATATTTTAGTTATTACATTAATTATAATACTTTTTCACTAAATAACTGCCCGATTCCGATGCCTATTTAGGGGGGTTGACACTGTGCATTATATCAACAAAAATGACTTCACTACAGGAAAAACTCTCACGCCTCACCGATAAATCAAATGTTGATATTTTGTTTGTGTTTGTAAGATGATCGGATCGAAGACCGAATTATCATTTTACTTAAAAATGTGCTAGAAAAATAACAAATATTGTACAAACGCATATTTTAGCTTCTGCAATTATAATCTTTGGAAATTGGGCTTTGATCTAACCTGAAATATGTTCTCTTTTGTAAATAATAAAAAAAATAACAAAATCCTATTATTTTACAGACCGTGAGAGTTTGTCCAGCAAGACATGTTTTTGTACTAAAAATGCACCGGCTCCGACGCCCTTAACACAAATAGATGGCGCAACGTGTATGTCTGTGATCGTGTATGTAATTTTCCAATGATAGTAACTAGTGTTCCCCGGGCCCCAGTCGTAGAATAGTACAAGTCAGTGTCCAACAGTTACCCAAATTGTATATGTATTTTTAAGTATTCTTAATGTAAACGGTGTTCATTAAACAAGTACCCAAATAACCGAGATAACAATTTAATGTTAATAATAATAATTTATGTTCATAAAAAAAATCTATTGTATTAGAAAGGGTCACTCCTGTCTAAAGTCATAACAGCCACGGGCAAAATTTAACAACTAGTTCTACTATATTTTCATTAATATGTACTACAGCACTTCCGAGGTACTTATAAGTACCTACTAGCTGGTGGCGAATAACTTGCACTAACAACTTTACAAATCTTAAAAACTTGAAAAATAAAATACCTTTTACATATTATATAAATAAATCAAATAACTAAAACAATATCCTTAATTTATAACACGATGCCATTTCTTTTTTCATTTAGTAGTTCATTGATAATCTTGTATAATATAAAATACTTTTTGCTGCGCGGTGTGCCCTAGTTTTCGATAAGATCATCTTCCCATCCCAGGCCCGAGTATTTTTAAATAGTTGTAATATTTTATGGTTTATTGTTTATATAGTTGCAATATTACATACAGGTCAGTCATTAATCAAACAACATTAATAATTTGTAAAAAAATGGCCCAAGTATATTGAATACTAGTTCCAATATTAAGTCAATTATATATTTTTATATCTATTTGTAAAACCATTTTTGGGGACGATTATTTTTAGTAAAAACATTTTAATAACAATAAAATTACTCCTTCGAATTTTGAATTAAGTATATCAAAATTTTCAAAAAAATGTATCACTAAATAATTTACAGTAAAAAAAGGAGTCTCATTTGAAAACAGAAATTTATATCATCACACGACACTCCTTAAGTAGTACAAAAAAAAATTCAAGAATTTGAAAAAAATATCTGAGTACCTATATTTAAAAAATTTAAAAACCAGAATTTTAATAAATATATTATTGAAGGAAACAATGGGGGTGAGCATGCTTGGTGAATCACCCTGTAAAATAAAACCAGACACTAAAATTAATTAATTTATTCAATGAAAATTTTAAATCCTAATAAATACAATTATACACCCCAGGCGAGCGTAGTATCAGGGTTTATGTATCTTTAAATATTATACAATTATATTGTTATTATAGTACACTATACAGCTGGTTATATCAAAACCAATTACGTTTTATAACGTTTGTACGAACGAATACGTCTTACAATTTTATTAAACTATACACACTGATGGTCCGGGTAACACTATAGATGTTTCTTAAGCAGAAATTTGAGGAATAAAAGAAAATTGTTGTCATCCTTTGCTGGTTATTACTATATAAATGTTCTTTCTCACGCCGTATTTACACATTATGGGCTATCTATAATAATTACCTATAATATTTGCAGTAATGCTAGCTGTACCAGTGTACCACACATTCCCGTATACAACGTTTTTAAACTATGTACTGAAACTCTCGTTTTTAGTTCTTATCTTTGCGATATTTGATAAAATCATACACTCATACATTTATACCTTACTACCATTGATACTATAGTATTTACAAACAATGCTTTTACTGATTGACTTCTATTTATTTACAAGCATAGTACTGGTATACAGTAGGTATACGAAATTTCCATTAAACGCCTAATACCTAGTTAATCAACAAAATCGATTATTTTGTTTTTATGTCACAATAGATTCTTACGCATTTATAAAGATAACCCGATTTCCTCAAATGGTTACAAACATACATATATACCTACGTACTTACAATGTATAATAAATATATTATATACATAAACAAATACTTGAAAAAAATGAATGAAATATTATATAGGTACACTAATACTCTATTACTACACTTAACTAATACTGTGTAAGACGCAATTATTTTTTTTAGTATTTCTTCAAATACAGTGAGTATTGATCATAACATTCATAAGTATAAATATAATAAAATAAGTACTCAAGTGTGTACGGTTAGTAGTTAGTAATTTTATTAGCGTTTCGATTGATACGCAAATAATTATTTACATAAAAAAAAAAAAATATAATATAGTCAGTTCATGTATGTCACTTTAAAACGTAGGTAGTTCAATTTAATGAAGATCCAAAAACTATTTTTCCAAGTAAATCCGATCTCTCAAAAACTATATTATTGATTCCAAAAGAATATAGGTTGCCGAAAAAAATAGTAAGTATTCATTTAATTATATGATTGTATTATAGATATGGTCTAATATTATGGTAAAATAATTGATATAAATTATCAATAAAAGTTGTGAATAATAGTTTTGAAGAACGAAATTATATTTTTTTTGCCAGCATATGTATTATAATATAATATATAAAATAAGACAGTAGTACGCTGTGGAACTGTATTGTGCCTACCTAACGTGGATCTATTATGCTATAGTTGCACAAAGACATTATTAGCGTTATTAGTGTATATCACAAATCACAATAGGTACACGACTTTTTTGATACTTTTTCGGACCATGACAAATTATTACTTACAAATAAACATATTATACTATCAAAACACTGACATGGTCGCTTAAATATACGTACCTAATTGGCATTACACAAATTCAACTTTTCCAACAATAAGAATTATACACTCTGTTGTTGTTGTATCTATTCACTACAATTTTTATACTTGGAAAAGTATAATAAACCATATGGTAATTTTTTCTGGAAATCAGATTTTGTTGGAAAATCAATTTCGTGATGAAAAAAAAAATTGATTGTAATAAAAAAAATAATTAAAAGATATATTTTTGAGAAAAAAGTTCTACCAGTCTAGGCAACAAATACATTTTGGACCACCAAAAATAAACCTAGATTACACGGCCTTCATTAATCTAAAAGTAATGGTTTTTATTATTTCCGGTAAATATAATTTACAACTTCGTGATTCGTTTATGGATAAAAAAATAATTTCTGTTTTATTGCTATAAATTATAAATTATGTATATTAAGTTTCTAAATGATAATTATAAAAAATACATATATGGCAAAAAATTTATTATTGTGAAAGAATCTCGTGACGAAATTTGTTTTTATCAATTCGAAGACGACTTGCCCCAGACTGATTCATTTTCTCAATCCACATAAAAACAAACCCAAGTTTCACTAGCCCGTGTCCTATATAAATGTTAGTGTGCCACAAGATACGTACACATACAATTAACAATATTTATACATGTAACATATACTACATAGTATTATATATTATGTTACAGTGTTATATTATGATATTATATACAATATATATAATATATATAATATATATATATATAATATATATATAATAATAATTGAACTCGAAAAGTAGTTCTCCTCCAAAACACGTTTCATTTTACAAGCTCGCAAATTCCCATTGTATATATTTTGTTACGACCGTGCCGGTTCGAGGTGAAATATCATGTTTTGAGCATATAATGATGGAATTTATAGTAACCAAACGAAGCACATTCACAGAGTTCTTTGTTTATCATCGGGTGGATACTACTACAGTACACAACTCATTGTTTTGACTCAAAGTATCCCTTCTTTTTTGGGTGTTGAACTCTCGGTATCGTGTTATGTACACTTAGGTATAGGTATTTAAGGTATCAGTTAACCGACAAAGGAGAATTATAATAACTGATAAACATATTATTATGTATTGATTTGAGATTTCACATGTTCACTATTACGACTTATTAAAAGAATGAAAAAAAAATGATTTCATATCGTTGTTAATTGGATAAAACTTCTAAACTAAATATTGCCTGAGGTCAATACATTAATTTGAGTACCTATACAAATTTAGTTCGCTTAAAACTTTATACTAAAAAAGAAACCGACGAAGTCGATCTGCTGAATAGCCGGTTGTCAATTAGTGTGCTTCACAATTGAGTAGGTCACTGTAAATTGTAATGGATGTGTTAAATTTGAATTCAATGATAAGTGATAATAGTGATAACTCATTGTATACGATGAAAAACGATCGTGAGTGGAGACGGTCTGTCAACCTATATTAAGGATATTTTATTACATACCCAATTATAATGCGATAAGTAGTTAATTTTGTTATGAGTAATTTGCTAAATTGTATACACTTACATGATTTTGACGAACTTATTCAAAAATTAGACTAGAAACACATATAAAAACAATTGTACCTACAAATTTTTAATATTTTCAAATTTCTCTAATTAAAACTGAGGAATCATGTTTTAATTTTTCAAATTTTAAGACAAACTATAACATTTTTATCATTATATTTTATAGAAAATAAAACTAAATAATTTCAAATGCTTATGAATAGTTTAAAAGGGCAAAAATATTTTGAAAATGTTGCTGAAAATAAAAATCAAATTTGTGTAAGACTTGTTTTGCGTGCAAATTCCCGTTTTTCTTACTTTGGACTTCCTAAAGTAACCAACAATTTGCTACCAAAACCACAGTCAAAGCTAAGATTGAAGCAATTTTACCGCTTTTAAAGGTTACGTAAGACAAAAAAAATCATACAACATTTTATCACTCCGCTTAGAATCTAAAATACGATGATTTAATTATTTTAACAAGCCTTGATAATAATATTAATACAACAACTATTAAAACCAATGCCTCATCGAACACGTGGTTTACATTGTTCATAATAGTTTTATGGTCGAGATTTGCTAGTGTTTGATTAATCAAATGTATGAAGTCTACGCATTAGTATTTCGTATATTCTGTCAACATAATAATATAATATATATTATAAAACTGAGATAAGAGCAATAAATCAAATTAGCCTTCTGCTTTAATAACTAGTAGGTAGTAATCATTCAATACGCAAATGGACTTTGTTCTATGGGTGAGCCATAAAAATGTTTTGTTGTATTTAAATGTAAGATTGCAGTTCAAATTATGATAATGTTTAATCAAACGCTCGTTGATTATTCAGAAAGAAGTCCGAAAATAATCAGTTATTTGGTTATTATAAAACAAAATAGTACAACAAAGAAAAATACATTTTTATCCAATTCACCGAGTACAATTTTACCAATAATAATGATCTTTACTCATTACACATAGTAAATGCATTTTACCAAAAAAAGGCAAGACCTTGAATTTTTGAATACAAATGTCTGAACATTTATAAAATTTATCCTTAAGACTAAAAATTGAACATTGTCATGATCACACAATGTATATAGTGTATAATACTATATTAGATAATTCCTAGGATAATTCATATTATAAAATATTAAAAAAATTATAACTTCATAAGACAATGAAGAACGAATAAGGTAGGTGGGACAGGTAGGTTAGGTGTGTTTTAACTTCATAATATAATATAAATATCATGCAAAAAAACGTAGTTTGATAACCTTACTTCCGTTTTTTAGTTAACGGCAATACAATTTGTTTAACAGCATCAGTTCAATCGACATATTTTAATAGTTAATTTGTTACCGCAATCCCATATTGTATCCATTATAAAAGTTACAAATTTTTTACTGTTTTGTATGATCTATAAGCCTACATTTTTTTCGTCTTAAATTTCCCGAAACTTTAGTTCTAAACTCGAGCTTAATTATAACCATAATTCTTAATTACTGCGAAGGCATATGAGTACTAAGTGTCTAAGTAGTAATATATAGTACACCATGTAATCCCACATCATTAATTTAATTTAACACGTGTTAACCACTTGAAGATATTAATGTTTAGCAGCAGCCAACGTGGAGTTTCTCACTATAAACCGAGCTATAAACTAACGTAGGTACCTATCCAAATAAATAAAGTAGCAGCATACACTTGCATATTTTTGTACATTAAGAAATTTAAATAAAATAATATCGCAAATCAATAACAAAAATATGTTCAACTTAAACAAAACAAGTAACAACAGTTCTTTCAAATGAAACAAATATTAATATTAAAATCAACTGTAAAAACTTTAAATGTAACCGTCTAATATTTCATAATATACAGGTCATATTTTGTTTTACAGAGACTTATTTTGTTGTGTTTTTACATACAATTATAAAATATGAAAAGATAAACAAATATTTATCTAATGGTATGCAATGTTTTAGTGTCAACTCTATATTTGTAAGCCTAATGTATACAACAATAAGTCCATAAAATTGTTTTATAAGAATTTTGTAAGTCAATAAATTTATAATTATGTGCATTAAATTTGTTTACTCTACTTCCCAATACAGCTTTCGGAATAAGTCAGTTTATTGCATTTATGATTAGTTTACACTTGCACATTATAAACTGAGTCGTTGACACCTTTGGTGTCTACGGTAGAAGCCAACAAAAAGCTAATAAAAATAACTTTTATGAAATTATGAGTAATTGGTACAGTTAACGACATTGATAAGTTCATTAAATACCTATTCGTAACTACTCTCAAGTCATAACTGTGTATTAATATATTATATACCAATACAATATGCCCGTCCATGCACCCGCACACGGCTTGTATGCCTATTATGTGTAGTAGACTGCAATATAACCGTCGAGGCACTCCATCGAGAGCTCGTAATGTAATGTAATAAGTGAAACGTGTAATGACCTACTGAACAGAAACGATCCGATGGTTGAGAACAATTTATTATTTTGTCGATTAGTTGGATTACTGAGCGGTTAGACATGTTGTACGAATTGTATTTATTTCGTGATGCGTTGTATCCATACATGTGACCATAATAATATTATATTAAAACTTCAAAGGCTATATAACGATAATAAAATGCCTATAACGAGCAAAAACCGATCTAATATCGAATGATGGAATCGGATCGAACGATCTGACGAATGCCGATCGACTTCCGAGCAGCAAATACGAATTATTTGATAGCGTTTTTAGTTTATTCGTGCTCGTCATCGACGATAACGTCATAGGTGTTGTACATGTTGTACGCAAGGCGGGTACCAAAAAAGTGGCAATCGTCACGCGAAGTCTTTGCCGCCGTTGACTTGCATAACGATAACGACGACACACGAGCGTGTGTCGTCAGCAAAACATATTATTATTGTTATATCAAAATAACGAACATTATATACATTTATTACTATTATTATTATACCAAAATAACGAATATCGCATATTAAGTTACATAAATATAATATTATTTTTAGGTGTTCTAACGAGCTGTACTCGGTATAATATTATATAAAAACATGCTTACCAAAACACAGGACCATGGCTGCTGCTACTGGCTGTCGGTCGGTCAGTCAGTCGGTCGGTTAAGTTTTCGGCGGCGACGGCTTTTACGATAAATTATTATTATTATTATTATTCTATTCGGTCGTCGTCGTCGTCATCGTCATCGGACGGACGGCCGGCCGACCTCGTGTACGTTCATCGTCACGACCGTGTGCATGCAATACTGCCCGGATCGCAGCCGATCGAACTGCTTTTTACACGCGGCGTTGCGCTCGTTATCGCCGTCGAGCCACGACGGTTTAACCGATATTATTGCGGCGGCGGCGGCGGCGGCGTAACGGTCGGCAACGGAATAAAATAAACAACGTTAGGCCGGCTTATCTCCGGTGTGCATGCGAGCGGCGCGTGTGTTGTATTTAATTTTTTAATACGATTAAAAACGCTCACCGTCCGCCGTGTCTTCGTTTTCGGTCTAAATGCGTAGGGACGACGACGACGACGACGACGTTTTCGTTTTCGTCGGTGCACCGCCGACCGCCAATCGTGCACAATGTCGTGCGACTGCAATAATAATAATAATAATAATAATAATAATAGTAATAATAGTGTAATAACACCCGACCGACCGGCTCTGCGCTGCTGCCGTCGTCGTCGTCTTCTCCGGCACCGAGACAGCTGCTCCTCTCCTCCCCCTTCCCCCCGCCGCCGCCGCTGCCGTACGTTATTATTATTTTATTGTTGTTGTCGTCGTTGTCGTCGTTGTTGTTGTTGTTGTTGTCGCTGTTGGCCCACGTGTTTTTGTTTACCGTACGGGCCGCCGCCGCCGTGATCGAGATCCGAGATTAGGTGCTGCGCGAGTCGGGCATGTGATTGTCGCCTGGTATGCGCGGCGGTAGGTTCGTGGACCGGTCGGGGGGGCAGGTTGGTATGCGTTCACAAACCGGTGTGCGCGTCGGCGGCGTTCACTCGTCGTTGCCCCGGGTGAACACCGTAAACGACTGGAATCGTCGACGAAACGTTTCTTCGAGACAATTATTTTTGTTGTTATTATTATTAACTGCACTAACTCGTTGTATAGTTTTTATTTTTGGTGTTACGGAACACGCAGCCAATATTCTCCAACACTCGAGTCTCGGCGTTCCTTCTCTCTCACACTGGTCATGTTATAATAGTGCCTGTAATACATGATAAGTTGGGGCATAGGAACATTAGAGGAGACGAACTGTAATTCGAAAGAAATATACTAAAAAATATTATTAAAAAAAAAAAAAAATTAAAAGAAATTAAAAAATATTGAAAAGGATAAAACCGTAGATACCAGATTTGAATTTGTGAAATCTGCATCGTATTATTTAAAAACACAATCGTATTACATATAAATGTTAAGTACTTAATTGAAAAAAAAAATATTATTTGACTAATTTTATACGTACCTACTTGGTTTTATATTTTATAATTACTCAAAAATGTTAAAATGATATAGGTACTCTAATTAATAAATGTTATACACCCTTATGTGTTTGTGTCCTTAATTTGTTCTCAATAACCACGTAATAAAATGTAAACAAATTTGTATAAGAAGCTGTTAGATAAAATGGTGGTAAAATTACAAACCACTCGGAACCCCAACCAATCGGTCACTTCAAATGGAGTACTTTACCATAAACGAGTCGGATCATTCATGCTTCATTCTTCATGCTTAAGTCCACCCATAACAAAATCCTACTTGTAATATAATATTTAACGAATAATGTTTTATTAATATGAATATTTTTCTAAAATTGTTAATTAACAGTGTGGGTCAAGTATATGAGACTAATGTTTCATTTATCATGACAAATGGATAATTTGTACCCAAGAGCACCACTCACTCCTACAAATTTGTATAATTTCATTGTCATAGTTTGTTCACCCATTGGTTTGCAATTGTTTAATTAGATTCAAAATCAAAATCCAATTTTTAAATGTAAAAAAAAATTTTAAACATGTAATATCTGCTAAAGTCAATTGAAACCAACTACCAAGTGAGCCTATAATAAACTAATAAAATTATACCAACTATTTTTTCTACTTAAACTTTAATAGGTTATTGATATGTAATTGAGAACACGGTCCACCAGTTTACGAACTATTGACAGCCAATATTCATTTTCGAATAAGTAATTTTTTCCAAATCGATCGTTTTTACTTTTTAGATATTCAATTTTATGGACAGGGAGGTATTTAAAATTAAAATATTCAGTTTCTCGTAAATTCTAGGCTTTTACGACAAGCTAGAAATCTTTATTTTTTATATTTTTTATACACGTCACTTATAAGTTATGCGGATCAATATTATTTTTAATACTTATGCATAATTTTCCAATTTATAATTTCATTTTACTACTATATCTATCTATTATCTAACATTCTAAAAGATTCGAGAAAACGTGTACCTCGTACTATTTGTTTTAATAATGAGTATAAATATTTAAATGAAATTCCTGTTGACAAAACCATAATATTTATTGTTTTTGTAAGAATAAAATGGTAAATATATGATCAATATCAAAATAGTTATTATAATATTCAAATAGCGAACGATATCATTTAAATTTTATATGAAAAAATTCAAAACAGTGTTTTGAAAACACGTAGTCAATTTCTAAGCATATAGGCGTACGCCTTATAATATTTGTATTATTTTTGAGATTTACTGAACGGATTTAAATCAAAAAAAAAATATATATATAAGAAAAGGTAAAGTATAAACATACAGTAACAGTACAGCATGTATAAAAGAACAATTTTACTTTTGAACATTTTGTACGTTTGTAATAAATTAAAAAGTTCAAACACTGTAACATTTAAAATTGTAATTGTTTGTTATACTAAATTATTAAAATAAAATGTTACGTTTAGCAGTGCTGAAAGTTAAAAAGTGAAAATCATTTCTAAAATTATTTTTATCATATTATTATTAATGGAATTTAACATCCTCTTAACGATGTGACCACAGCAGTTTTTGTCAGGAATGTCAAAAATGTGATATTTCTTTATGATTGTATATTAAGGGAGCTGCAGTTGGTCGTTTTTTAAGGAAATTAATATAGGCAATTTAACATGATGACATTAAAGTGACTTGTAAGCGTATGTAAAGTGAATATCTGATATAGTAATTTTGACTTGAACTGTCGAAAATAAACTGAGAAATATTTTGAGAACTCTAAGAACAAAAAAAAAACTATAGTTCATAGTAACAATATTAAAAAAATATGTTTAAATATAACGCCAGATACCACGTCATGTTTGAACAAAGTGGAACTTAGTATTCTGCGTTTATCAAAATAGTATAAACACAATATTTACGAGTCATAAATGTTGTGTTCATTAATTATGAGGATTTATTGGTACGAATTATTATCTATGTAAGAATGTAAGATATACCAAATTAATAATCACATAACTTCGTTATTAAACACGATTTTTGATTATTTATTGAAATATAGTTGAGGTATTATTATGATTTTAGGTAATATAATTAAGAAGTATTTATGCAATGATAAAATCATTAAAACATTGTAAAATATCAAAACTCGATTTTCTACAGATTATATTCAATACCAGAATTGAGTACAGAGTTATCGGATAAAAGTACCACCCAAATTCCTAGAAAGCCAAGCCCCAGTTATAGTTATACTTATTTGTATGCATATATTTAAGTCTGTATTTAGTTAGTGGGTACCAAGCTATCAAACGACTTGCCGCCGCACTGTATATAAAAGGTCAAGAAGAAGATTGAAGAAGAAGTCTAAAATTCGGGTTCGGCTTCTCTAAGGAACTCCGTTAGATTAATATTTGCCCATGCATTATAAATAAATATTGATATGTGACTTATGTTGGACTGAACCACCGTAGAAGGCGAGTAAGTGGTAACCACGAAGAAAAACATGGTGCCGAAGTATACTAAGACAGTAAGTAGTACTGCTATACATATACAAACGTAGAGAGTATACAGATTGTGAGTGTTCCACTATTATTTACTATATAATTTTAAATGGTGGCGGAATCTATGCGTTGCCTTAGTAGTTACTACATAATCGTTTCAAATTAGTAAACCTTTGTGAGACACTTGTTGAGTGTTTAGACTGTTGACTGTTGAATTAAAACAAATAAAGAAAATGGATTTAACTTTGAAAAAAAATCGAATGATTTTCTATTTGTACAAATCATAATATTTTATGGTTTTGTACACACATCATAATTCTTAAATAAATTCAAATGAAATTATAGAATGAACCCACAACAAAATGTAATATTTATTATTTATATAGGTACCTATAATAGTTATAACCTATGAACTACGGCAGTACGACCCACCAATTTTTATCAGCCGTGTATTTCATTATTTACATAAAATATTTGATGTAATATTTAGTCCACAAACCTACATTTCGATGATTTTATAACGACGTAATCAAAAGTATATTGCTCGCATACAAATAATTGAAAAAATTAAATTATTATCTTCCGCAAAAATTGAAGGTGTGTTTTTTGCGTAATAGATGAAATTACTTATGAACATTTTATAATATTATCTATAAATATTAAATAACGCCAAAAATACGAAAGTAATTATATTTTAACTGGTAAAGTGGTAAGTACTAATAAGTTTATTAGCATACCTTTATTTATAATAATATTAAAGTATGGGTTAGTTTTCCAATCGTATATTTTTGCTGGTTTCTGTATGATATGCCGAGTATAAACACAACATTTGTTTCATATCATAGAGATTGAAATATGAAACTTTTTTGGTGCAAAGTTTTTGTGTAATTTGACATTATGAGCTTTTAGGGATTTATTTAACGATTTGAACCACTTAGAATATTCTAGTAATTTTGGAAAAACTCCAGAAGAATTTTGGTTTTTAAATTTTAAATTTTTATTAATACATACTCGTAAATAAATATTTGTACATAATACAGATTTCCCGGATATGGCCAACACTCCGACAGTTACAATAGGTATCGGTACATATTAAGATAAGAAAATATCGATTCAGATGTCAGACCAATTGGCCATTGTTTTATAATTATTTATTAAATGTTTATTATTATGATATATGAAGAAATAAAATTTGTTTTTTTTTCTTGATAATTTTTGAGTGCATATTTGAACTGTTTGGTGCATACTGCATATATATGTATCTATATACATATTTGTTTGTTTTTTAGAGCATTTATAAATTCGCACTTTTAATTAATAATTCATACCTGCGTGACAAAAACATATTGCATGTGCATACCAAATATAGATTTGCAGAACACTAGGCAAACATAAACTGCAATAATTCGAGTTTGTTCATTCATAACAATATAATTGAGTATTTAATGTAATGATGCGTGTAACAGGTTGTTATAGAAAGTTGAAATTGAATAATTCTGACTATTATCGTGAATGCATGACGAAAACGCCTACTCACGACCGGATACCGTAATTTGTGAGACTCCCGGTCAGATTTCCGTGTAAAAAATCTCGCACCAGTGATAATGATAACAGTTCACAAAAAAAAAAAACTTTATGTATAAATAAACACTAAGCGCAAAGTAATTTACAACGTACTTCCCCCATAATAATAAGCAGGTAGGTATGGCGCGCGACTGTATAATCTGCAAATCGCCGTGTAAATGATGAATGATAATATGATAAACATCATAAACAGGCGTGTGTTTGTGGCTTATACTCGTCAATTATTTTTACAGGTACACTAAATACATAAGCTATTTATTTGGATAGTATACTTCTCATACGTTTTAAACGGGCCCGTGGCGAGTTTGGCGAGTTCATCGGCGGAAAAAAACTGCAGCTATCTAATATAACAGTTGAAAACTATTGGTTGTAACTATTGGTAAAATTATTGGATTTTATGGTTTACGAACCCATAGATAATTATTATATCATTATGTTATAACAATATTATGTTTGGCATATTAAATTATTGGAACTTTTTGACTCACTGACGCAGGGATTTCAAATCTTATTTTGTCCCCAAGGGCGTCACTTTATGTTTATTTTTTTTTTTTTTGTAAAGAAGAAGGCTGGTAACGTCTTTTTTAATTGCCAGAGGAAAATTCGATTAATTCTGGTGCGGATCGGTGTTACACTGCAGACATACAGCCATTGGGCAATGCTGGGGACTTGTACGGTCGTTACGTGTACATACTTTCGTATTCTTATATGTATGTACCCATACGCATACGTACAACTGAACGTGCCGGTGGACAATTCTTTCAATTCTCGTGATTCCACGTGACGGATGTACCATTAGTATACATAACAAATATATATATAGTATGATATGCTATTTTATACTAGAAATAGATATATAGGCATACATAGACGTACTATTATATATCAGATATATAATATATTATATTATATATATGTGGAGAGAGAGAGAGAGAGACATTTGTATGTAGTAAACCACTTAATTATTATTCAGCCGTCATTGCGTTTGCGTCCGAAGGCTACACGAATACTAAAAAAAAAATAACTTGAAAAAACTTCGATAATTCGACACTCGAGAGCACGTCCAATTGAAATGATTTCCTCTGGTACTGTAGATGTACTGAAAAAAGTAAGCTGTAATTACACAAGTGCAATCAAAACTATATAATATTGGCAATGTGATTCTCATATTATATAATTCCATAATATAAACAAGATATTATTACTATACAAGGTGATGCGTCTGCGGTCATTATTTTGAAAAGTTTTTATTATTTTGAAAATGTTATATTTAAATAATTTAACTAATTTTAAAAATGTTTTAATAATTATTATTTTTTTACTTTTTTGAATGATAATATATATTTTTAATATGTCATATTTCACAGCAGAATAAATTTCGGGGTAGGTACACCGATTTATAAATTCGAATTTCAAACGACTTTTTCGGGGCAACCTCCTCTAGCTGTGCCACTTTAATCTGCTCTTGTAAACTTCAAATATTTATAAAACGTAGTATAACTAATAATTAAATGTAATCGTTTGAAACTTGATTTTTATGTATAGATAACTTTCTTCTTCGGAGCATATGATATTAAAAATGTATTTTTCCATTTAAACAGTAAAACTTAAAAATTACCATGGTAAAAATATTGTAATATGTCGTCTAAATAATTCTAACAATTTCTAAAATGTTATTCCGTGACCGATAACATTTAAATTAGATATGTAAAATAGTGATTGCGTGGACACACAATTAATGGATCACCCGACATCTTGATTATCATATTATTATGTTGTTGTGTCAACGGATTTTCTTTTGATAGATTAAATGTTTAAGATTTAACGTTGACCATTTGTCTACGTCTGACGTACCTGTGTAGATGTCGGACAAAATCGTTTTACACGTACAGTTTGTACGGAACACTTGTAGCATATTTGCAAATCTGGGCATTAACAAGTTAAAAAGTTAAAGTTAAGATAAAAAGTTAAGTTACTTTTAACTAAGTTACACTTAACGAGTTACTTTTATTTACATAAGTAACTTCTAACTTAATGAGTTTGTTTTTTTAAATTAACTTTTAAGTTACAGAGTTAATTTATTTTAAAGTGACGTTAGTTTATTTATTTTTCCTAATATAATTCCATAAATTTAAAATTATAATTATAATTTATATATACAAAAAAAAAACTCCCCTGAAAAAACAAATACTATTTATGTTATTACACTTATCATATTTTGTATTCTATATAAGTTCTAAATTGTAAACTGTCACAAGTGTTTAGCATTCTATCTGTATTTGAGATTTCAATATGTATTAAAATAACATAATAACTAATAAGTACAACTATCTACATATACAATTTATGAAACGATTAACGGGTAAATAATTTGTAAGTAACAAAAATTCATTAAAATAATTTATTTGTATTGTTGAATTTTTTAATTGATTGAAGTATGCAAGTACCTACTGTAATGAGCACAATTACATACACTCAAAAAAAAATATTAAGACCTCCTATATTATGTTATTTCTGAAGCTTTAAAGAAAAGTTTTAATAATTGATTTTACATGAAAAAAGTAACTTAATTTCAATTAAGTAAAGTTCATCTTTTTTCAAATTAACTTTTAACTTTTAACGAGTTATATAAAAAAGAAAAGTAACTTTCAACTTAAACTTGTCTTTATTAACCTCACTTAACGAATTAAAAAAATTAGTTAACTAGCCCTGCAGCCTTGCATATTTGTGACTATTAACTATTAAGTAGTAGGTTTGTTATTTTGTATATTTGTATGTTTTTAAGAAGGAATATAAGTAGATGTATCGGCCTAGTTCATGTTTTGAATTGCAACTATGACAAAAGTTATTTCAATTATTCACTATTTTATTATACATTACATTTTCTAAGCACCCAAATTTCAAAAAACTCAATTTGAAACATTTCTATAAACAACTCGATTTAGAACCATGAGAAAATGAGCAATACTCAATTAGCAATAGGAATTCAATATCTAATATACAATATAAATACCTACCTATAGTAGTATGGTACATAAGTACCTAATTAGTAAATAGCGTATACAATACACAATATGCCCACATACTAATTTACAAATGATAAGTCATTTACTATTAAAAATCATTTAGTAAAGTATTATCATTTAGAATAGGCATTTTAAAAGACACTTAGATAAAGCTACCTGTGCAGTTATTGGGAATGGAATACGCGATGTGAACATTGTTAACTGCATTCATTGAATTCCCTAAAACTGAACAGACAACGGTCCGAATTCTACACATTTTTAACATTTTTTTGTAACTCTTGAAAACTACAATACAATTTAAGTAGTTTGAATTCAAAAACTAAACTATAAATAGTGGAATACGACAGTAGGAGGTTGTCGACTATGAATGGTCTAGGAAGTAATAACTAGAAGATATATATAATTATCGGTAATTATTTAGGAACAAAATATGAAAATGAAAAAAAATTTAAAATCGTTATAAGGATTTGAAACGAGGGTATTAAGAACGCGAGAGACGGCTTCGTACGATTTTGCTTTTAAAATTACACAAAGTATATTATACAGGTTTATTGGTCGCCTAATATTTATACATTTTAACATATTATTATAAAAATGTACCGACGCTAAATCCAAAAAAAAAAAAAACGTTTATTGTACCAAATAGGGTATAATATAATATTTACAACAATTAATGATAGTAATATTTATAACCGTTCTTATCCCGCTTGCTTTTAAACTATAATGAACAAACGCGGTATTTGTACATTGTTGAAAAAACGCCGCGCCGTGCGATTTAACAAATCAGCAACCCATTATAATTCCATCGGTGTATAGTGTCTAGTTGGTGGTATTTACCATTTTAATATTTTTAAGCGCGTGCTGTTTTATGGTGTACAGAATATTATACGATTGTTATTATTTTAAATTAGCACTGTTAACATAACAATATCGTGTAGTTTCATATTTTAATAATCATGTCGAGTGTGGACACCTATGCTGTTCGTAATAATAATGTACACCTATACGTCGACAATGATTTATTACTTTTTATTGGGAAACGCGGTGCCCATACACTAAACTATTCTTTCACGTCGATTTCACTTGTCGAAAAAAAAAATAGAACAAGACACGCCTTGTGTTTTTATACACGCGCGTCTACAGTATTTTTTTTTAAGAGAAAATGGTTTGGAATTTGGAAATTACAAAAAAGACAAACATACAAAAAAAATAAATACCACAAGTGATTGTAAATTTGGTATGTACACGTCCATTATACCAATATACATCGATATTCCTTCTATTCGCTATTCAGTGTTCTGCGATGAACCCGAAATAGCCAAAGTGGCAAAGTACCTAAGTCTGATACTCAAAGGCCATTTTTTTTTGTGAATCCCTTTGAAGTCATCTGCACGAGCATAACCTAAATTAAAGCTCAATATTCCCATATTCGTGTATAGGCACTGTTGTTATTAGCTGAAGTAAATGATATTATATTATACGTGGCATTTGCGCGACTTTTATACTATATCAATTGTATTTAATGCTTTCAAAACATCTTTTCACTGTTATATGCACGAAGAAAAAAAACACTCTTTGAAAAAAAAAATTTTTATTGTTACTTTGTTTTGAATATTCAATGAACGACACAGTTCGAATTGGCATCGGTGCAATTGAATATGGCAATAAAAGGTTAGAAAATATTAACCTGATTTTAAGCCATTACAACTTTGTGGAATTGACTTTACTTTGGATCAGATAGGAAGTCTTTGTCGACGGCGCCATCATACTCATCTGTTCCTGTAACGAGAAAATACTTATCAATAATATGATATTGGTAGGTACGTACTCATGGTGTTCATACGATTGCTGTTAGGTCAAACCTGGCACAAAGGCAACGAGGCGAACATGCAAAACCAATGGTTCTCCATAATGTATGTGGCTTATAATTATTCTTATTTATTTACAATAATTATTGTCCCTTAAAGTTTTAAAACCGGTTAAATAGCCGAAAAACGCCACTCCGTTTGTACCAAGTAACTTATTACTATAATATTTTATAAGTTATATAGTCGATGACTTTATATCAAATAAGGCTACATGACTCAGGTCGCTATATGTATACAGAAATTACAAAATATATAATACAATAAAAACTGTACTGCTATATCAAGTGTATAATATATTAATATATATATATAATAATAATATTAATATTAGTATTAATATTTTAGGTATTTAAACAATCATAAAAAGGTAAACTTTTGTTGGGTAAAATATTAATTTGTTTTACGTTTTTAAACTTTGTTCTAACGTTTAATCTGTATTCAATACTCGCATATACCCCTATACCTTAAATTTGATACTAATTTTATAATTTTATAATTATTATTATAATTAATATATAGAAATTATAAGATATTATAATAATTACTACGTCATTGATTTTTATATTATTCACCATACAAACATTAAATATAATTAATTTAATTTATGTCGTTTTTATATAAAGGTTTTTGTATTTTTCGTTGTTACATACAATATGTTAATAAATATGAATTATAATAATTAAAATCAATGTAACAAATGACCAAGCTATTAATAAGACGTATACGATCAATTAAAAAAAATTGCTTTTAAAAGTAAATATTTTAGAATATCGTGCCTTCCAACAGGTCACTTTTATTAGCTAAAGAATTCACTGAATTATCTCACTTTGAGTTGTTCAGAAGATCTTTTTATGTAGTTCATCAGCATTTTATGTTTCATTTTCAACGAAATTAGGAATTTATAATCCTCACCAGACTCTTTTTTCTTTAATCTCTCTAAATGCCTCTGTTTTGAATGTCTACATTTTATTATTAATTCATTATTGATTCTTGTCAAGTCTTCAACTTCTTTGTACAATTCAGGATCGATCTCCTAAAATATAATGATATTGAGTTAAATTATTTTATTTTAATAGCTATACAGGCTACAGGCTGAGTCCCACTGACAAGCTTGGAACTTTTAAGTTTAATGTTAACATAGTTTCCCTCCCTGTTAGCAGGTTCGTAACAAAAAAAAAAGATGCTGAGACCCAAAAATATAATAGGAATATAGATAAAAACAAAACTTTACTAAACATATATTAACTAAAAATTTAGCAATTTAATAGACATCGTAAATTCTAGTAATGAAATATAATATATTTAAAATGTAAAATATGCTTAGATTTACTATTTTTAACTTAATATGTTGCTTTTACAAACCCTCAATGAATGAAAAATTCATAATATTATAAAAATATTGTTTTTATTTCTTAACTCTGATCTTGTTAAATATGCAATGCGGTTACACGTTATAATGTATAGAATTGTGTATTTAATATTAAAGGTATATGACATAGTCAAAAGTCAAAAATTGACACAAATAATTATAGACCTATAGACATATATTAGTTACTTATATTAGTTTATTGAACGTATTTTCCAAAATATTAGAAAAAGCAATCAAAACTAGGCTTATAAATTATTTAGAAGTAAACAATTTATTATCCAACTCACAATATGGCTTTATCTAAGGGTTAGGTACAAAAGATGCTCTGGCAAACTGATGTAAATGATAATTTAGATAACCATAACAAAACTATCAGTATATTTTTAGATCTTAGTAAAGCTTTTGATAGTATACCTCATACAAAACTACTGAATTGTATATAGTCGATTGGTGTTATTGGATCAGCATACTCAATTTTTTAATCATATTTAGAAGGTAAAAACAGGTTAAAATAGGTAATACTCTAAGTGAAATAGGTACAATCCATAGAGGACTCTCTCAAGGCACGGTGTTATCTTCAATTCTCTATATTATGTTTGTATCTGCATTAGGCAGACTTTGGTTAAACGGAAAAATCTATTCGTATGCTGATGACACTGCAGTTATAATATCTAGTTCTAATTGGGAATCAACTTGGAAAAAAAGTGAATCAGATATTGCAGTACTCAATAGCTGGTTTTCTAATAATGACCTTAAGATAAATTTTGATAAATCAATATGTTTTGCATTTACTAATAATTCTAGAACTGCACCGAATAAAACAGAATTTATCATTCATACAATTGATTGCAGTACTAAGTCTTGTTCTTGCCCTAAACTAATTAAAACATACATCCGTTAAATACCTTGATATAATAATTGATCAAAATTTAAAATGGAATATTCACATGCAAAATATTGTGTAGTTCAAAACTTTTATTTATGTGAAAGTAAACTTAAAAACATTTATTAAACAACTTGCTTATAAAAAATTCTAAATATTCAATGGCTAAATAATATTTTATAAAATCATGATTGTTACTGTACTCTTAAGTTATATTGTATTCCTTCTTTATCAATATCAAATTGTGAATTTTTTTTTAATTTTAATTTCTTAATTTTAAATTGTATTATTATTTTAAATTTATTCTTTAGTTTATTCATTATATATATATTTTTTTTCATGTTTAAAATTACATCTAGATAAGTATTCTTGCTCTACGATAATATGTATTACCTTAGTGTAGAGCAAAGTTAGTAACTTCATCCATCATACTTTGTACACATTTCTTTTACTAGCAATAAATATTATTATTATTATTATTATTATATTTCTAAGTCGAAATATAATTATTTCAATTGTATCATATACTCAATGTAACCTATGGATTGGAATTCGAACACAGATCATACTTTACTTTTTAAAGATATTTGTATACATTTCGATAAAATTGCTAAAAAAATCAGTACCTACCATTGAAAAAACACCTATTAAAAAAAAAAAATTTTGTAGCTTAGCCACCTGCTTGAAATTATGATCAACTATTTCATTGGTATTTCAAAAGTGTGATTTTTAAACATTATCATCAGTTTTGGACTAATTATAATAAGCATAGTTTTAATTAAAATAAATAGGTTTTTTGTTTTTTATTTAAATTTATAGCTGTAACTATAAAAGACACTAAGACACAAAGAACCTATTTATATTAAGTATATATTATTTATTTATTGTTGACTTATTATGTCGTACACATGTTTTATTTTAACCCGTGGTAAATAAGAGTAGACTTTTCTCAATGTTTTCCAGAAATGCGATGTTGTTAATTTGGTTTAAAAAGAAATAATCACCACCTACAGGTGGTCGACACTATTGATTATCCTATAGGTACCGATTAGATTATCGTTCAACATAATAATATTAAGTAGGTATACCTAATATTTCGTTCGATGCCTATAATGAATTCACCCCATAATATAACGTTGGAGACATGTTTCCTAGTCGAATATTTTATAATACCTAACACAAACGTTTCTGTAAATGAGTACATAAATGGCCATTTGGAATATGATTTATGCTTATTAGCTATTATAATTGTGCAGATGTGCAGTGCCCACTTATAGGTATACTACTGAATACAGCTTGCCTACCTATATGCTACCCATTCAACTCATTAAAATACCTACTCTACCACATTGTAACTAAATACATTTGGAATTTGCAGTTAACAGGGCTATTGGCAGTTATCGGTACCTATTGTATTTTTAAATGTTTATTCATGAATAAAAATTAAAAACTCAATAACCAGTGTTAGTAGTACTGTTAATGCGCTAAGATTAGGGGCCATTTTGATTACAATCGTGGAATTTTTATTCAGTGTCCACTACCTTTATACCGTAGACTCAATTAATGACAAATTATAATATATTTCATTATCGCGATGTTCCGGTCAACATTAACTATTGTTGTAGTTAATCATTGCACGACCGCTGCTGGAAGTATACTTTTTAATATTTAATCATCGTGTAGGTATTCGATTTAGCACGTATATATTTCGCATATTATAGTTTAGTACAAATTACGTTTGTAGGTTCGTACTACATAAATTATTTACAGTTTATTTGTTGATTAAAAACAAAGGCGAATAAAAATCCACTGTTAGAAAACTAGCTCTGTTAAAAATTGGTTGTCAATTATTCCTACTATAACTACGATTTTTTTACAACGATGTATTGTAAAAATGAAAATAGGACCTACTTAAGTAAAAATTATTATTGTCAGTGGTGGTTAGGCCGATTGGGTGTAATAACACCGATTGAAGTACTTGATAACTAAATTATAATACTATCATAACTGTACCGTCTCGGCTTCTCTAATTCATCTATATTTATTCACGGTACAGTATTAAGTACTTAAATAAATAAATAGATAAATAGCTGGTATCTGTGTCATAATAAACCAATTACCGATGAACGCCGGGTCAAGTCATTCGCCTCCACCGCCTTATCGTACATACATTTTAAGATAAAAATCATATTCTTAAACTCGTTGTGAATCCTGAATAAAATTGCTCCAAGATCTTCATCCATGATTATGACTTGTCTCAAAACTTCGTCTTTTTCGTAATATATATAATAACAAATAAGTAATTTAGAAAAATCACAAATATACATACTACCTAGGTATATTATATAATATTTATAATATACATAAACTTTATATTACCGAAAAAAAAATTGTAAACCGAGTTTCTTGTCTCGCATAGCCCTTTTTGCTTGAAACTATAAAACTTCTCTAAATTATTTAATATCACAATCATTTTGAACACACCGTCTCGGTTTGACGGTTCTCTGGAAATTGTCTGTCTCAAAGTTATCAATTTGTTATTATTATCAACTCGAGTCCATACTCTGGGAGGAAATATTTCATCTAGTATAGATTTTCTACAGTCATCTTTTTCGTCGTCATTATTCTATAAATATTTCGATTTTTAAAAAAAGAATTAAACTACAAATCGTTGTTGTACTTAAATAAAGTCGTTGCACTGCAAAGTTGAAAAGCTCAACCAAGAAGTATATATTTTGTATATAATATAATTACTTTTCAAAAGTTATTTTATATGGGTGTAAGTATAATAGTTACAAGTTAACAATAGGTACATATAGAAAATATCATTATTTCGAAATATAGTGTTGTATTGTAATTTTTTTTAAATCGTTTTGGTTTTTATTGTGACATTAAATTTGTATTTTGAAATACATATATTGTGCTTAGTTTGTTAGTGCCGTAAATTAAATTGTGCACGAAGTAACAGAATTGTGAAAAAAAATGCATGATTTGTTTAATTTCAAAATAATTAATTTTCCGAAAAATTGTTTAATTTTCAAAGCCAAGTTCACAGTTCTACAATATTTTGCAGATTGATATTTTAACTTTTAAGTAAGCTAGAAAACAACTGTACAAATCTTATCCATCGCATTGCAAACGTATGCGAGTTATTGTGAATGTATTATAATATAAGTAAAATGCACGAAGTGTTGGACATAAAAAATGTCATACTCTTTTCTACTTCATGAGAATGAAAATTGCAAATGTGAGAAGCCGACTTTAAGTATTATTTTTAAATATTACTTGTTCTTCGACGTCTGTGATATCCTCGACATAGTTCCATTTCAAGACTCCTTTGCTTAAAACCTCAAGCAAATCGGAATTATTCATTTAGTAGCAATAATACGTTAATGTATAATGTGCTCATCTACAAAAATATATTCATTGACTTTTAGCCAATATTTACTTTTGTTATTGATTAGTTACGACTACCATGTTCAGTATATTTTATACTTATTTGTTTTTTTTTAAATATTATTTATAACATGTTAATCCGAAAACAAAATTTAAACAGGAAAATATATAATAAAACAATTCAGTTAAAAATTAATTAATTTTTATTTTATAATAATAAAACTTCGAAATTATAATAGAGGTAAATAATTATTATATACTTATTATGCAATTCTATATCTGCGTCTATATCTGCTTTTGAACTTTGAAATAAATACAGCTATAGTGAAATTGTATCGTTCCGCCGAATTTATGCTTTAGTTGTGTATTCCATTATTCGTATACAAATTTCAGTTTGAATAAAACAATATTGGAAATATTATACAATTTTCTAAATTTAATTTCAATTGTCTAAATAATTTTTTAATACAATACAATTTAAAAAATGTTGTTAATCTATTTATTTAGAATAAAATTGTCAATATTATTCTGTATAATAGACACTGAATAATTATAATTAGTACTGAAAAAATGTAAGCACTTGAATAATTTCCAATACATTATATTTATATGTTTTATGTGTAGAATAAAGAAGATATTTCTCTAGGAAATGTAAAAAATAATTGTTTATATTCTTTCATACATTACTTCAATATGAAATTAATCTACTTGTGACATTCTTCTATAAACAATAGCTTGTTCATAAAACCGGTTTTCGAGAATACAATCCAAAAAAACGAATTCCAAATCTCGCCGGGAAATAATACCTGTATATTAGGTATTACATGTAGCGATATTGTGTTTTTCAAATATTTGTTTCGTTTTTAAATGCATGATAATGTGAAATTTGTTTCATTTTAAAGGAGATTCAATAATGTTATCACGATTACAACTTAACTTGATATTTTGTATTATATACTATTATAACGATATCTAAAATACTTGTTATAGGTACCCACAACGATTTATATTTTTATTATTAATTATATTTGAATAATGCATTTGCCATAAAAAAATGTCATCTAAATCGGTCGGTATAATAGGTAAACATTTATCAAAGTTTTGTTTAAGCAGATTCGTTGGTTTTACTCATATTATTTGACTTGTGAATGCATAATATGTCAATGCATAGTACCTCCATGCACACTGTATATAATATGTGTTATAAGTATCTAAAATAGATTCAATATTTAATTTAATTTAAATTTAAAATGTATGTAAATTTAGCTACTTTATCAATAAAATGTATACATGTAGATATAACAATTATTTATGATCTAACGTTACGTTCTATACGAATGTACAATGTACTGTACATTATGTACATCAAACAACAACTTAAAATAATTCGTATTATTGAATATAATATTACTTGTTAGTTGGTACTACGGTATATTAAATATACTGTGGTTGGTACTTACATAGCCAATAAGTAAGACCTATATGTTATGTTTGGTTTTTGTTTTCTGTGCACAGAACATGCTTTTACGTAGACATTATAATGAGATAGTTTGTAATATAATACATATTTTTAATTTTTACATGTTTCTTGTAAATATGATATAATATATATAGCAAATATTTAATTTAATTTAAATGATCTAATTAATTGTAAAATACATTAAAAAAAGCAATTTTAAAAATCAGTTGAAATTTTAAATAGGTAACTAATATAAGTCATATATCATTGTATTTACACGAACGGTTAACAGAAACAACATAACGGTGTAAAAATACTTGGTAGATAATTGTATATTTTATAGTCTAATACTCTAATTCAGCTGTTAGAGACTTCTTGGAACATCGTTTAAACTTTGGAGCACCCCTCCCACCTAGCGTTTTCTTAAATATATAACATAAATATAAAAATTATTTTAAACAGTAAGTATAGTATAATACATTTTTTTATTGACGATCCAGGTAGAAAAAATTCGATTTACCAGTAAGTCATTGTGTGCGTCACATCTAGGTAAATGCAATATTATATAAAACAATAATTTAAAAATAAACAGGAGATATTTGGTATTTATAACTATAATAATTGGAGCACACTTATACAGAATAATAGTTCCACAATCGTATTTCAAAAATATTAGTTTGATATAAAAAAATACTGACGTGATCAAACATGGTGGAAACTGTATACAGCTGGAAATGAGGAACACATAACCTAGATATCAAAAATTATTGAAACTATTAACTGTAGTAAAAACAAAAAGCCTTTGGACTGTCGAGTGATGACAGATGTTTAAACACCTTAATTTTTTAGTTTGAATATTCGAAATGGATAATTTTACAATGGTTCAGTGATAATATAACTATCACTTAGAAATATTATATAATAATAATAAAATAATCGATAAACTTATAAATCCTTAATATAAGCTGATCTAAAATAATAAATACATCCATGCAGGTAGTTGGGAGGTCAGCTGACCCAAAGATTTTTATTCTCAATTTTCTATGGCTAAGGCTAATCCCTATATAGATATAATTATTATTTTCATATTTTTTTATAATACAATTTTCATAAAAAACGATTATTTAATCATTATTATACAACGATACAAGCTATATTATATTGAAGTAAAATCAATTTGAACACAATGTGTTAATGCATAAACCAATTTACAGTCGTATAGGCGCAATACATGTACATTGGACATATTATATACCTATGTAGGCGTTTTGCATTTTTATAAGATTTTACTTCATCTGCATTCATTTCTCTGTCACAAATCCATAGTATCACTTATTGGATGACAGCTAAAAAATAATTAAAACAATGATTGTGTATCTTGTAGTCGTCAAATCCGTATTAAGACGATATATTGAGAAAAATTAATAATTATATAATTAATCAAATATTTTAATAAGAAACTTTTATTTTGGTTTTTATGTGTCTTGTCGGTAGGGCACAAAAATAAAATAATTTTCCCAATATGTCAGTATACATAATGCTACAGATTTAAATTTTAAACACGCCAGGGGGCGATTCTTGAAAACGTGACTAGTTTATCGAAGATGACTAACGCATTTGTAACAGGAAATAGAGTTTTAGATAATCTTAAAAAATGATACGATGTTATCAACTTATTGTCCACTCTGATTATAACAGTGCCTTAATTTAGTCAAAGGTTAATTTGTTAAATTATTTTATAATGTTATCAATTTATTATAAAGACTAGTTGGCTCGATTGCATCAATATTAGATAGTATTATCAATATCAAACGTATGCAAATAATAAAATGAGGATAAGTAATGAAATACAATACACAAACAACATAAAACACTGATAGTTCTGAAGTAACAAGTATCAAATTACAATATGATATTATGTATTTTAAATGAGTCAAAGTTTGGTGATACGAAAAAATTGATTTTTAATTCGTTATATTGTTTTCATAATTAATTCTATTTTGGGGCGTATTAGTCACTTCTGAAGATAAATGTAGTCTGAGGCCTACTATGACGAGTGGAACATGGAACCAAAAATTACTTAAGGAACCCAAGGCAACCAATATTTCAAGAGAAAAGTAATTAATTTATAATAAGAGTAGTTACGTCGTATATACTGTACACTAATAAATTATAAACCACCAGAGGCTGGCCGATGTGGTAAATTCTGTCAGCCGTCAGGTCCGTTACCTCAGCATTGACATAATCTAATTAGAATCCAAAAATTATTCAGCACTACCTAGTACCTTTGTACCTTATTTTGTACAATTGTTGTATACAAACACGTGAAAAAAATGATTTACAAAGCACAGTTTCAGTAGGCGGGCTTTCCCGGGATGCTAAAGCTCGATCGGAACTCGTTAAGTGCGTTAAGTTGCTCCTTGCGCCCAATTGTGGGGAAAAATTACATCGGACAGATTGTTGTTAGACAATACTCAATGGAAAATTATACACTTGTTATTAAACAATTTCAATATCACAGAGTGACACGCGCACACTATTTTAGTGACACACACAAATATGTATACGTTTGATAATATTAAAGTTTTTGAAAAAAAAATTGAAGGGTTATCGAATTAGTTGACACGCAGGGAAAACAAAATCCAACCAACATTTTTATTTGACACGCTGGTACAAAAAGGTTTGCCATCCCTGCCCTATGGTCTACGGAGGTGACATTACAAAAGTGACCTAAACTGTATGGCTGTATAGTGTGAGAGCAAAGGTAAATATTAGAGTGAGATTGAATTACAAATCATATAAGAAAAAGATGAATTTTGATGTATATTATATAGTAATAATAATAATGTGTTTTTGTTTCTTGCGATGGGTACACCATAAATATAAAAGAAATATAAAATTGCAAAACCCAACCAAAAAGCAAAGCTTGCATCAATATTGGTTAATACCTAGGAAAATGAAATCTTCTCAATTAGAGAAGCTTATTTAATAAAACATAACTATTTAGATGTTTATTTTACATTATAATATTAATTATTATACAATAGTTTAGTCTATACCGCACATACAAGTTATCAATCATAGAAGTATCGAAAACATAATTTTTTTTACAAGTGTTTAGTTCTAAAATAATTGTTGATAATTGATGGCAGATATTTATCATGTTTTTGAACAATGAACATCCCTTACTAACACGTATTGACATTTTTGAACATGTTTAATGTTTGGTCGTATGGTTTTAATCTAAATATACGAATAGTTACATGTATACATAGTGCTTGACTAATCCTTACTTTTTTCGAATTAGTATACTTTTAGTATAATTAGTAAGGTGATACCTCATTTATTTTAGAATTTTTACAAGATTACAAATTCAATCATTTTTCTTTTTTGATAATAAAGAGTATTTACAAGATAAGAATTATTATTATTTTTTTTTTTTATCGCTTTGGCAACAATTGCCATTAGCTTTAAATAAGTATTTATATCTTATACAGTCATAATAGTTATTTGTTTA